AGGAGGAGGAGGACACACAGGAAGACAACACTCAGAGAGTTACTCCGGATGGAAGATGTGATGGGATAGGAGGAGGAGGAGGAGGAGGAGGAGGACACACAGGAAGACAACACTCAGAGAGTTACTCCGGATAGAAGATGTGCTGGGATAGGAGGAGGAGGAGGAGGAGGACAGGCCACACAGGAAGACAACACTCAGAGTTACTCTGGATGGAAGATGTGATGGAGACTATTGCACCTCAGGGACACTATGAGCATACACGAGAGTGTGCTCCGTCTTTTCCTGCAGGGGCCACAAGTAGCTCTGGCTTAGAAAAGACGTGGTAAACCTGATCTCACCTGGTGACCAGAGGTGGCCCTGACAAGTCACATCTTCTAGGGCCTCCAACATTCCCTAGGAAGAGAAAACAGAGCCCTGAATAAAAAGGACAGAAAGACAACATACAGCCATTACACACAATGAGATTTCTTCTCACTCACCCGTCCAGGAAGCAGTTCTACGATCTTCTTAATGAGCTCCAGAATCTTCTGCTCGCTGGTCCTCTCAGATATCATGGACAGAGGCGTGGAGGCCATCTTACCAATAGGTGTGACCTGATCACCTGACTTCTTCACAATCATGTAATCCTAAGGATCAATACACAATAATCAATTCCCAGACAGACACCCAGAGCCATAAGTAGCACCCTAACCCTAAGGCAAGAACAGAAAATTGTGCCCTCCCCCACCTTACCCTTAGGAGTGTCACCCTGACCCAACTGCCAGCAGGAGATCCCCCCTTAGGGTTAGGGGATTCTTCAGATGTCACATGTGGCAGTTGACGTGGTTGGGGAGGGAAACCATGCAGTACATGAGAGGAGGGGACCATGCAATTAGAGGGAGGAGGGATAATTCAGCACAAGTTGGGGCAAAGCCTAATTTTTAAATACTGCCCCGCCCCCGACATCACACCCAGCCAGTTGCTAGGAGACGGAAGGGCGCTGAGGAGAGTGGAACGGTGAGTGCTGTGGTGGAAGGGCATCGGTAGCAGTGAGTGCCCCTGGTAAGACTGATGTCATGTGACCTCCCAGAATCCCCCTCACTTCTCCGGTCAGATGTCATGTGACCTCCTAGAATCCTCCTCACCCCTCTGGTCAGATGTCATGTGACCTCCCAGAATCCCCCTCACCTCTCTGGTCAGGTCATGTGATCCCCCAGAACCCCCTCACCTCTCCGGTCAGCAGGTAGATGATCTCCAGGGTGAGGTGTAAGATTTGCTGGTTGTCTTGCTCCATGCTATACAAGTATCACGCAGGATGTGGGCGTGGTTTCGGCAATCTCACCGTTATGTAAGCCTTTAGGAAATAAAGTAAAGACAAGTCCAGGCTGATGACAGGAAAAGTAAAGTCGCAATCTGATCTCCATCTGTCTCCAAAGATACCTAACCCTATGATTGTTAATCTTGTATTTTCTTCCCCTCCCCCCCGTCCCTCCCTATATACAGAGCGGACACAGGGACGACTTCCCTCC